TTGATGGACTGGAGTGGTGTGGATTACTTGTGGATTATTGTGATGTTTTTATCAGCTGTTTGGACTCTCATTCTGACGGCACCCATTCACTGCAGAGGATCCAATGCTGAGCAAGTGATGCAATGCTACATTTCTCCAAATCTGTTCTGATGAAGAAACAAACTCATGTACATCTTGGATAGCCTAAGGGTGATTTTTGGGTAAACTATTCCTTTAAGTTTTAAAACAGAAGGCAACTATTCACCTTGAGGTAGTCAAAGATGTTGCAGATGAAGGACACGAGGCAAACCCACTCCTGAGTGGATCTCTTCCGTGTCTCTTCTCTGGCTTTAAATTCCTGCTGCAGTCGGTTCAGAAGGTTACGCCGAAACACGTTCCCGTTGGTCTGTTTGGCCTCGGCCTGAATCAAATGAGTCAACCGATTACAACTCAGTCCTAATAAACTACAAGACAAATGTGAGCATTTTTATACACTGAAGAGAATGCAACATTCAAACTTTTAAGTGTTTAACTGTATAAAAACTTGCACGTGGTGCATTTGTTTACCTGGACAATCGTGTAACAGATGCGTCCAGCCTCCCTACTGAAGATCTGGTCCTTCAGAGACTGGTCCACTATTACATTGGACACTTTCTCCAGGTCAACTGAACCTGGATCTGAGGGGGGGGGAAGCAACAACAACAACAACAACATTTGTGAGCCTAACAGTAAAATATGTCATGCAAAACTGCTGCAGATTAAAGATAATGACCTTTCAAGGCAGTTTTGAGGAGTTTCTGTGTCTCCAAATCAAACGACTGGATCGTGTACTCTTCTTTAGATGAGGTCTCCATTCTGTTTACAATGGGAAGACAGGGAATCAATCAATCAATAACCAACCTTCAGGCACATAAGATCAGTTTTTCCTGTGAAAAGAATTGCAAATATCTCGAACAATGTACATTGTCTGGTTGAGCAATAAGGAAGAACAAATTAAGTTGAGCTACAATCCTGTTATAGACAAATACTGTGTAGTCAAATGTCTTGTCTGCAACATTTTAGAAAGCTGACCATAATATCTTTAATGGCAATGCAACTCGGACCAATAACACACTATTGCCATATTGTTCTTGTGAAACAGGTGATGTGTGAAATATGTGCTGTAGTCAGTCTGACTTTCAAAGGGAATCAGAGCAGCTCGCGTGTTAAACAGGGATAAACGGATTACGCCAAACACCACCTGACACCTACAAACACACAACAACTGCACGATAAATGACTCAAAACTACTGATTATTATCGATCAGAAACACTCTTTTCTAAAAGCGATAGCAACTGTAACTTTACAGTCGATTGTAGGCCTAATCTTTACTTTCCCACGTGCCGTCTAAGCCAAGTGAAAATACACAAACGCCGAGGAGTTAGCAAAGAAATAATCTATTATTTTGGTTCAAAGCGCATAAAACCACTCAATAAGACAGTTAAAACTTCATTTAAAGACAACGGCAAACTCAAATACAAATTTTCACGGCAATATCATGAACATTATGATTGAAACAGGTAAACAACAACACAGGAGCACACCTATCCGTTTACATCCCAGCTTGATACGCTCGCTGCAAGCGGCTTTCAAACATTCAACAACAGTACGAAATGCTTATAAAATGTTTTATACTACTAAAAAAACGAGAGGGGTAATATTACATGTTCATAATGACAAAAAAAACGTACTTTAAAAACCGGAGAAGTAAACGGGCAAATGTTTTTCACATATCTAATCCTCGCTCTTTTCCTGCTGTCTCCCGTATTAAGCGAATCTACGTTAGCCGTCTGCTCTTATGAATATTAATTACGTAATGTGACGTTTTCTCGGTTGACGTAACTGATTGGCTGAAGAGGTCTGGTTCTATTTTAAATATTCATTGCGTTATCCTGGACCTCATAGAAAGGTTGAGAAGCAACTTTGTATGACCAAATTAATATTAATAAGCAAAGCGTGTCTCTCCATTACGTCTCCATTACGTTAAAAAAAGAAAAATGTTCAAAACAATCAGGCCTGCCGCTTGGGGGCGCGCAGCCATAACCAGCTCATAAGAAGAACACATGCATAAAAAATGCATTTATTAAAACAATATATTTGAAACTTCACCTCGATGTATTTTAATACCACATGAGATCGTGTGCTTGAACTTGGTACAAAAATATTAATAATAAATTCGAAAATATTATGATAATAAATAATACATTTCAAAATACTCCTGAATAATAATATAAAAATATCCTCTATAACAAGTCTTCTTACATTTAAGATGATATCTTACACAAATTTATCAAAGGCAGAATATCATTAATCTTTCAATGACAAAAAAAAACGTACTTTAAAAACCGGAGAAGTAAACAGGCAAATGTTTTTCACATATCTAATCCTCGCTCTTTTCCTGCCGTCTCCCGTATTAAGCGAATCTACGTTAGCCGTCTGCTCTTATGAATATTAATTACGTAATGTGACGTTTTCTCGGTTGACGTAACTGATTGGCTGAAGAGGTCTGGTTCTATTTTAAATATTCATTGCGTTATCCTGGACCTCATAGAAAGGTTGAGAAGCAACTTTGTATGACCAAATTAATATTAATAAGCAAAGCGTGTCTCTCCATTACGTCTCCATTACGTTAAAAAAAGAAAAATGTTCAAAACAATCAGGCCTGCCGCTTGGGGGCGCGCAGCCATAACCAGCTCATAAGAAGAACACATGCATAAAAAATGCATTTATTAAAACAATATATTTGAAACTTCACCTCGATGTATTTTAATACCACATGAGATCGTGTGCTTGAACTTGGTACAAAAATATTAATAATAAATTCGAAAATATTATGATAATAAATAATACATTTCAAAATACTCCTGAATAATAATATAAAAATATCCTCTATAACAAGTCTTCTTACATTTAAGATGATATCTTACACAAATTTATCAAAGGCAGAATATCATTAATCTTTCTTGTCATATATACAGTAACACCATCTCAGAAGTCAATGTGCATAAACAAACATCTCACAGAGAATGAAAAGGTAGAACATGTTTCACAGAAAATGAAAAGGTAGAACATGTTTCACAGAAAATGAAAAGGTAGAACATGTTTCACAGAAAATGAAAATGTAAAACATGTTTCACAGAAAATGAAAAGGTAGAACATGTTTCACAGAAAATG